CACTATAAGAAAACCTGGGTTTGTGTCGTCCTGCTGACTCATAGATGTCACCTTTGTTTTCAGATGTTAAGCCGACTTCATACGGAAGAGGATTAGGGCCATTGAAAAAAAAAAAAAAAGTTAACTGACTTTTTTATTTTAGTTTAGTTTAGTATGGGAAAAAAGTCAGAATTCTGACTTTTTTCTCAGAATTCTTACTTTTTTTATTGTCAGAATTCAGTCAGAATTCTAAGACTAAATTCTTCTTCTGACTTTTTTATTCTGACAATAAAAAAGTCAGAATTCTGAGATTAAAGTCAGAATTCTGACTTTTTTATTGTCAGAATTCAGTCAGAATTCTGAGATTAAAGTCAGAATTCTGACTTTAATCTCAGAATTCTGACTTTTTTATTGTCAGAATTCAGTCAGAATTCTAAGACTAAAGTCAGAATTCTGACTTTTTTCTCAGAATTCTGACTTTTTTTATTGTCAGAATTCAGTCAGAATTCTAAGACTAAAGTCAGAATTCTGACTTTTTTCTTAGAATTCTGACTTTAATATCAGAATTCTGACTTTAATATCAGAATTCTGACTTTTTTATTGTCAGAATTCAGTCAGAATTCTGAGATTAAAGTCAGACTTCTGAGATTAAAGTCAGAATTCTGACTTTTTTTCCCATGTTACACTGAAATTAAATTTTTTTTACATTTTTTTAGTGGCCCTAATCCTATTCCGTAGACTTCGTGTTGCCAGACAGGTTCTTTTCTTATTTCCCTCAACCTAGTTAACCCTTCAAAGGGCACTCAGTGAAATACCTTAAAAATCTAAATTTCAAGCCAATAGTGTTATTGGAATCGGGAAAAAGAAAATATTACCTTTGTAACATTAACATAAGATATGGATAATTTTATAGCATACATTTATGTCAACTTGCCCGAATATATTAAGAAAAATAACTAAAGTGTTTCTATAAGAAATTCATGAAAAACACATTTTTTTTTTGGTCCAACATAACCTTAGAGGCATTAATGCTGATATTGGCACTCATAATTTTTAGTTTAGAAACCTAAATATAACAGTTAACTAGGATTATTAACTTTTTAACTTTACTTTTTAACTTTTTTATGTAAACACATGCATATTTTTATCCTGTGTAGGCAGGGCTTTTATTTTATTTTATTTACTTTTATTTATTTTAGTTATTTTATCTTTTTTGTGCAGCACTTTGGAAACCTTGGGTTTATTGAAATCGTGCTATATAAATAAAGTGGATTGTACGGAAGAGGATTAGGGCCACTGAAAAGAAAGTAAACTGATTTAAATTTTATTTCAGTTTAACATCAGAATTCTGACTTTAATCTCAGAATTCTGACTTTTTTCCCATACTATACTGAAATATAATAAAAAAAAGATCAGTTAACTTTTTTTTTTTTTTCAGTGGCCCTAATCCTCTTCCGTATGATTGGATTGGTTTGGATTTTCAATTAGCTTTTTACCTTTTTTCTTTAAGTGTTATTTTTTCCAACTTATTGGACCATCTAATTGGTCAAATGCCAAAAATCAGATGGCTAGGTATAGATCTTGTGCTTCTAGACGTCACTGAGGGACTGGGTTGGGACTCCATTTGTAAGGGGGATGCAAGTGATCAAAAACGCTAAGTTGCCCTAAAAAGGGTTAATGCTTTTTTTCTCTTTATAAATCATTTATTCCAGGTAATTAAAACAATAAAGGTTCCTTTTAGTCTGATATTAAAATTGTTGGTTGATCAGAAACATTTCAGTTGGAAAAAGGAAAAAAATAGAGGAAATGTGTTTGTTTGTATTTCATTTAAGCCTAAATTTGGAACAAAAATGTGATTTATGATTTGGTAATGAGTCACAAATCGTTTTTATTTGAGAAAAACTTTTTTTTTTTTAGCCTATAAATGAAATGCATTTGATATATTAGTCTCAGAGAAGTTAGACATGGTTGTCTTCTTTAACAGGTATGGGTTTTATTATGTAATCAGTGTTTTTATGACTGTATGGAACAAGTAGAGTCTGTTTATGAGAGACTACAGTGGAGGTCAGTTGACCGACGCTGAATAATTCCTCGTTTTGCTGCAAATGAAGAACAACGCAAAAGCAGAACAGAAAGAGAAACTTAACTTTTTCACTGGAGCTGAAATAGTAAAAGGCCCCTATCAGTACCTGTGGGCCGCTGCGCATCACCTCTTCCTGTGTCCAAATATGGCCGCCCGGCTCAACAGGAAGTGCATCAATGTCAGCGGGGGACAGAGTGACTGAGACCGCCGCTGCTCAGGCGTCCTTAACCAGAAAGAAGCAGTTTCTATAGAGATGTAAGGCTGATATGACGACGCGGGGGGAGAAGTTTAGAGAAGTTTAAAGAGACTCTGAGGCAGGAAGAGAGAGTCTGCAAAGCACCACCGAAACAGGGGTCGAAAATTAGAGCACGCTTCCTGTAAACGCTGAAGAAAACCAGAGAGAGGAATTACCATGGCAACAACCAATGGATGGAAGCAACTGGGAGGCTTTAGCGTCTCCACTGGAAAGTATGGCTCAGTCTTCTTAATGAAGACGACCACCAACCGGGAGAAACTGTCCTGACTCGACGGTGAAGCTCGTCTAAAATTGAAATAGTTTTACTTTAGATTCAGATTGTTAGTTTTAAATTAAATTCCTTCCATACAGCCTCTGTTTTAAAGCGCTGCTCCTGCAGTTTACAGCAAATTATACGGAATATCTGCAACATTGTTCTGCAGAATGTGGTCATGTTCTATATGTCACACAATAAACTAAAATAAAAGCAAATAAAACAAATAAAACCGGGTTAACGCTGTTTGCTTTCAGAATGCAACCTGTTTTTGATTCTAAATCTTTTTTAAGGGTTCTATTTCGAGGTTATAATGACTAAATGTTTTCCCCTTAAAGTCTTAAAGTGAATTATCTTTATAGTTTTGAATTTTTAGTTTTGAAACTAAAAATTTTCAATAGTTTTGAAAATTTTTGTTGCATAACTTTTCTGGTTGGATGCATTTATCCCTTTTTGTTCTACAAAGAGGAAGGGGGGGGATTAACAGTTTATTCATTAATCTTTTAGATGAAGGTTTGTTTTGTTTTGGGGTGGAAGAAACAAAGTTTAATGCTGTAATCAATTATAATCAGGGAGCCATTTTTATCCTGATTTAGATTTGATTGAACTGCATTTCAGCTTAAACAAAAAACAAAACAAAAGATTATGTTGATTAATTAATCTGTATCAGGGCTCTGTTAAAAAAATTAATCTGTTTTTGAAACAATTCTACATATTTTATATATATTTTATTTATATTTTTCCTTAAGATCATGTCAGAGAAACAAAGTCGGATTTTTCTAAAATGCGTTTCCACTTTCCTTATAGTAGCTACCATTACTTTATTAATTGAATGTATTAATTAATACATTCTGTCAGATGAACATACCCCGTCAGACCTGCATACCTATAGTCAATATGCATGCGCAAGACGTCAGATTTGTATCCATTTAGTTTTGTACAAAAAAAAGATATTAAACTACCTTAATGTAATATACAAAAAGTAATTCACTAATTAAATCATTGCTTAATTGACTTGTTTGGATTTTTGCCTCTAAATAAACTTATTAGTTGATCATTGATCAGATATTCGGTTACCAGTTCGCTGGCAAACATGTTTATTCAAGTTGAAAAAGATTTTTTTTGTGCATCTGGATCATAGCTTCAATGGTTTATCAAAGCGAAGAAAAGTTTTTTACAGAATGGAGGATATTTCTACTGACAATTCAATTCTATTCAGTTTATTTCTATAGCTCCAATTCATCTCAAGGCACTTTACAGTTCAACCAGATCATACAGTCAAATTGATATAAAGTTTTCTATCTGAGGAAAACCAGCTGATTGCATCGACTCATTGACTCTTCAGCAATCCCTCACACTAAGCATGCTTGTAGCGACAGTGGAGAGGAAAAACTCCCTTTTAAGGGATATAAATAGATATAAAATATAAAGTCTGTTTGAATTAAAGGATAAAGCCATCAAATATTAAGCTACTAGCACCAAAAGGAAACAGCCCCTACCATAATACTTCCTATTTTCACAATGTTTCCCTCCATTACAGCATCTGTTCAACCACTGAGTGGACGTGTTGGATACGTGTTTAGATTCCATCCTCTCATACCACATTGTTCTCTAAAACATTCAGGCCTGATCTGCTAAAAGTTTGCATGTCTAACGACACGTGTGACGCTGACCTAACTGACCACAAGTAGAGCGACGTCTGTGACACCAAAACAGCCGCCTCAGCTTTTTCATGCAACCTAAAAATAATGCATGAAGATGCTAGATTATATCCCCTGCTGTCCTGGTTAGTAGATCAGCTTTGCCATATTATCCTGTTTGCATGTGTCTTTACTTTGCAAACCTTCACTGGATCAGAACCTAATCATTTAATTCCATTGAACGCTGTCTAAAAACTGAAAACTTTACCTCAAAAACATGAAAAAACTCACCGACTTCCCATATTTTCCTGGTATTGAGCTGTTAAACGTCAACATTATTCTAAAGAAACTTGCTGACTTACTTTTTGCACATCCTAAAACAGTTTGTGACCAACAATAAGTCGACCTCGTCTTGCGTCAGGTTGAGCCTCTAATGTCAGAGCAAAATGTCATTCTCTCCTCTGATCTTCAGCTGCAGATCGATGAGGTTTTTATCCCAATCCTAACGGTAATGCACAGAAATAGGTGCGCCTGTTCTGGATTTTCCAACTAAAGGGAAAAAAAGGCATAATTTCCTTTGAACAACGAGCTGATCAGAGTTTCTATTTGAAGATCCAGACCAGCAGATGAAACCAACAGGTTCTAGATATTCAACATCAGACATTAAAGTCATAGAACCGATCTGTACGCCAAAGAACCAAAGGAAAAAGTTAAATGTTCTCCAAAAAGAAGAGAACTTGACAATAAAGGAAAGCTGTGAGGAGCAGCATGCCAAGAGTTCACACTTACAGGAATTCCCTCTCTTCCCAAACACACATCCTGGTACTCGGCTTGGAGCTCCGAGCAAAAGACTTCTTCTTCTTCAGAGAAGGAGCGGACACGGCGGCGGACATGACTGGATTCTCACAGGAAGGTGAAGAACCATACTTCCAAAACCGCCCGACGGAGGACAAGGATGAGCGGATAGAGCCAAATCCAGAGGGCTGGAATGCTGATGATGAATGAACGGGTTTATGGAGGCTGGAAACGTGACGGAAAAGCAAAGAGAAGCTCAGAGACGACTCAGCTGTGTCAGTTAGGAAGTCTGAAGGTGAACTGGATCCCACTGACACTCTAGCTGAGGTTTCCTGAAGGTGGCGGCGAAGCCTCTGATTGGTCGGCCGTCTTACTTCCTGCTTCCTCTGAGGAAGCATGCGATTGGCTACCGGATGCAGCCCATACCACACTACACCCTCCCCCCCTCTCACACACATACACCCACTTCCTTCTAACAGACTTGGACAAGCAGGACCTGAAATAAGACAACAGGGGAGTTTCCATCTCTTCAGACTGGAACAAAGTATGGCTCACGTCGTATTTACAGATATCGTAGAAGTCAGTGTCAGACTGCATGTCGACTTTTACAAGACGTCTAACATTAGAGAAGAAAATCTTAGAAATGACAGAATTCATTTTTACTCACAGAGAGGAAAATAAAACACTAATTGAATTATTAAAACGGAGGTAATATCATCTGATTTTATTTCTGTCACAATGAAGCAGCGTTTAGATCTTCAGGGCTTAAAGTTTCTGCAGCAAATCTATGGAAATCCCTCAGAGCCAAAACCAGCAGCTGCTGTTTGTATCAGTATCTGAACCGGTCATAGCTGCTGTGGTTACAGCTGTTAGTGAGATCATTATGATTCAGTTTAACCAGAAATCTGTTAACATGAGGTCATCGTTCCCATCGGGGAAGACGAGTAGCATGCTTTAATGGAGGATAAATAGATAATAGGAAAAAAAAATGAATAATCACAAAATGAAAAGTGAAAAAAATGTACAAACAAAATAGTAGGAATTGTAATATTTTTTACCACCTAAAATATTTTATTTATTTATTTAACAGTGTCCTGTCTGGCAATGTGGCTATAAGAATAATTGTCTTGATGCCAAAAAGAGCCCAACAGATTTTACTTTCACAAGTGTAGCAGTACGGCAATTGCCATATTGCTACACTTGTTTCGTGCATATAAATTGCTTTATTATAATTATGCAGGGAGTTTTACAGTTTATATGGACACTGCAATGTAAATAGAGCAGAAAAACAGAAGAAGAAAAGGAAAAAAAAGAGAAAAGATGAAAGAAAGAGGAGAAAGAAGACAATGACAAAACATTTTCAGTCTGCTTCATCACCTGTAACGAGATGCAAAAAGAACAACCGAAAGACATGCTACGAGACATACAATGAAGCAACACCTTGAAACTATTGCTGAAGTAGTATTATTTAGTCACCGAAAATATTTTAGAAGTACTGAAAAAGCTTGCAGTACACTATCGACATAAAAACCCTCTAGATCTGCTAAAGTAAAACGAGGTGAAAAGAGGTAAGAGCCTTTTTCCTGATATCAGTATTCATATCTTATTTTGTGTCGCGCAATGTTAGAAAAGGTTTTTCACTTAAACATTATGGAACAATATTAGGAGAATTGCAGATGTTAGATAATAAAGCTGCGCATACACTGTGTGATATATTTTCAATCGTTGCACACAGCTGCAGCTCAAACTGTATGATGAAACTGTAGGGTTTAAAAGTTTACAGCTCACGATGTTTGTTCTCACACTGGGCGACCCAACGCTCTGATGCCTGCTCATACTGTACGTCTAAAAACACGTCCTACTCAGTGCCAAGAGATGGCGCTGATTGGACTCGTCAATCTGGAAGAAGAACTCGCTTGTTTGCAGGTGTGCAGAGCTCGAGGTTCTGGTGTGCCCGTAGCTCTGCTTCAACAGCAGGATTTTTCCACGACTGGCTTACAGCAGCCAAATAAATTACAAACATGTTTTCTCTCGACCTTATGATTCCTGATCCGGAGGTGGTGGTGAGATGCTGATCACCCCTCCACACCCCCTGTACGCTACACGACGCAGGACTGGAACTCGGCCCCATCCAAAAAATTCTTGCATGACTGGAAAATCAGCCCAAAAAGAGCAAAAAATCATACAGTCTTAAGTTAAAGATGTATAACGCCGCTGTGCAATATTCTAAGGTTTTCTCAGGTATTATTACCTGGAGGAGTGGTGGCCTAGTGGTTAGGGTTATCCAGAGGTTCAGAGTTGAGCCCCACTCCCACAGACTGCCACTCTGGGTCCCTGATTAAGACCCGTCTGCAGCAGCAAGGGCTAACGTTAGCCCATCTGTAGCAGCTGCGTCTGCAGCGGCCAGAGCTAACGTTAGCCCGTCTGCAGCGGCCAGAGCTAACGTTAGCCCGTCTGCAGCGGCCAGAGCTAACGTTAGTCCGTCTGCAGCGGCCAGAGCTAACGTCAGCCCGTCTGCGGCGGCCGGGGCTAACGTCAGCCCGTCTGCGGCGGCCGGGGCTAACGTCAGCCCGTCTGCGGCGGCCGGGGCTAACGTCAGCCCGTCTGCGGCGGCCGGGGCTAACGTCAGCCCGTCTGCGGCGGCCAGGGCTAACGTCAGCCCGTCTGCGGCGGCCAGGGCTAACGTCAGCCCGTCTGCGGCGGCCATGGCTAACGTTAGCCCGTCTGCGGCGGCCATGGCTAACGTTAGCCCGTCTGCGGCGGCCAGAGCTAACGTTAGCCCGTCTGCAGCGGCCAGGGTTAACATTAGCCCGCCTGCAGCGGCCATGGCTAACGATAGCCCGTCTGCAGCAGCCAGGGCTAACGTTAGCCCGTCTGCAGCGGCCAGGGCTAACGTTAGCCCGTCTGCAGCGGCCCTCTCTCTGCATAGCCGTGTGTGAAGGACCGCTGGCTCTGATGGAGATTTGATTTTTTTTTATTTTGCAAAATGTTCGTTTGATTTGTGTTTATTTATCTGACGCCGTTAATTATTTTTCCCCCATTAAATGAAAAAAGTCATAATTTATTATTATTTAGAGACTATTAATAACAGGAGGTGAAATGCAGCTCCAGACTAGCTTTGAATGTGGTGATGTCATCAGTACGCTTCTTTTCCTGTTGACCCAGATTTATTCTGCTCCCGTTCTCCCCGAGTCCAGACTTTCCTGGGTTCTAGTCAAGAACACTGTATGCGCGTTCAGTGTTTTTAACTATTGGTGTGTGTTTGTAATAACTCATCATGTTGTGTAATGTCTAACAATTTTTGTGTGTCTGAATGACTGATGTGATTGGCTGTTTGAGCGGCCATCTGCATCAGGAACAAAAATAATTCAAAACAAGATGGTTTTATCTAAAGGGTTGAATCATTTTAAATATGCAAAATATTTTCCATGAAATCTTTTTCTGTGCTCAAACACAGAAATGTTAAGTTCAGATGGATAGAAGCAGAGATAACAAAGCTAACAGTGACATTTCATGTTGGTATGATTGAGGACAGTGGGTTCCTGTTAAAGCGAGCCTGCCACCATTTGAGGCCACCGGGTCTTTGAAACCAAGCGGCACACAGTGACTCACAGCAAAACTACTTTCAACAAAGCGACCCAGGAAGCTGGAGGCTGCCGCTCAGCCGAGTGACCCAGAACTGATCCGACTGTAACACTGGAGGTTTTAGTTGAATTGTGTTGGTTTCGCACCGCTCTTCTCGCTCTAAAACAAACAATGACTGTTATCAGAGATGTGCAGTGAGGTTTTAAAGATCACAGACACTATTTCAGCTTTAGCTGCTGCCTTTCCTGCATGAGATGCATGTATAAAACAGCAACATGAGAAGTTAGGCGTGTGAATCAAACACAGAACGCAAACCTTAGGGTAGAGTTTGCAGGTATTTAGGAAGAAATGCTGATACCTTAGCAGTGGGAAAGGGACCCTGAAAAGAACCAAAGCTTTTAATCAACATCTGCAGTTCTGATTTAATTATCCAAATACATCTGAAAACAAAGCGGTAAAACTAGTGGCGGTCATACATTTCCTTTTTGATAAAGCTTCTAGTTAGAGTGGCTCAGGTTATCCTGATCTATCTCTATAGTTCTGCTGCTATAGGCTTAGACTGCTGGAGGACGTAGGGACCCCTTTTTCATCATTCTGCTTCATTCTATCTCTATTCTCCCACTCTGCAGAATCTGTTAGTTCAATCTCTAACGTTCTGCTCTCTCTGCTTTTTCTCATAGTAGCTTCATCTGGTCTGTTCCTGTTTGGCTGTGACTCCATCCTGGAGAGAAATATCAGCTGTGCTGCTGCCATCAACACCTTTGTTTCTAGATGTTGGAGCTTGGCCTGTTTTCCAGTGTAGTCCTGTTTCTCTGACTGTGACTAACTGGATGTGCTCTCTTCATCCTCTGACATGGGAGCTGGCCAAAGTTTTCTTTTCTCTGTTACTGCAACTGTTGAAATGTTGCCAGTGTAACAGAGTGAGGTGTGGTTAGAATCACCTCTTATTGCCACAAATGTTTGCAGTTTAGCAACAATGGAACTGATGACATGTCCGAAGTGTCTCTGGGCAAATTATATGAACGAAAACCAGTTTCCAACAGTTAAAGATCTAGGCTGCAGCTTCACATTAACATCTCCTGAGTGACACCATTTGTCCACAAGCACTGCTGAACCGCCTCCCTCCAGTTTTCCAGGCTTCTTTAAATCTCTTTCTGCTCATATGGTCAGAACTCCTGGCAGAGACAAGCAGGAGTCAGGAATGTGATCCTACAGCCATGTTTCAGTCAAACATGTGATGCTGCAGTGCCAATATTCTGGCTGGGTCTTTTTTTAGGGCTTGGACTTCTACTAACTTGTGTTTTAAAGATCTCACAGGGTTAGGTTAGATATGACAGGTGGAAGAGAAGGCTTATGTTTCTTACTCCTCTCTCTTTTGCAGCTCAGCTTGTACCGCTAAAGTAAGTGAGGTGTTATATCAGCTTTGTAGATGTTAATGTGCTGCTCCTGGGTGTAAACACCACTTGCTATTGCTGTTGAGACTATGCATCAAATGTAAAAAAAAAATACTAACAAAAGTACTTTCAGTTGTGCAGCATCCTACACCAAAGGGAAAAAACCCAGGAAAGAGAAAATCTGGTATACAAACAGCAGAACTAAAGCAGACCTACTGCAAATTAGAGCCACGTTAAGCAGTGCAAGTCCACAATCTGCAAGAGTCTTCACCTGTCTGCATCCCTCTACATTAGTCTGAATATGTCTACAGTCTCCTGCATCATTCTGTAGTAGAAACAAGTCTGCATTCTTCTGCATTAGTCTGTGAGTCTACATCATTCTGTCAGCGTCTGCAGCATTAGACACAAGTCTGCATCAGTCTGCATTAGTCTGA